CTACCCATCTACTCACCCATCCATCTATCCACCCACCCATCCATCCACCCACCCATCCATCCATCTACCCACCCCACCTACCCATCTACTCACCCATCCATCTATCCACCCACGCATCCATCCACCCACCCACCCACTCATCCACCCACCCATTCATCCGTACATTCGCTGTCCACACAGCCACCTGTCCTTCATCTACCCATTCATCCGTTCATCCCACTGGCATTTTCTAAAGCCTTTCAAGGTGCATGGCCTTGCTCCAAACACAAGGGCCATATGGAGCTGAATTAGACCTAGATCCTGCCCTCTAGGAGTTTAGAATCTGGCATGGACTGGTAGAATGAATCCTTATAACCATATTACTCTAGTTCATAGATGGGGAATCTGAGGTTCAAAGAAACACAGTTATTTGCCCAAGGTCACAGAGTTAATAGATGGCAGAGCTGGGATTTGAATCTAGACCCTTGTCTCTTTCCACTGTATCATTTTTTGGGAAAGGAAAAAGAAAAGCTCTATAAGTTAGGAAGTGGCATATATAAGGAAAGTAAAATACAGGGCTGGGGGAGAGCTCAGAGAGGGGCAAGATTATTTTAAGTGGGACAGGAGTGGCAGGTTGATGTCTGCTTTCATGAGGACCCCACAGGAAAGGGCAATGGAGGGAGCGGTGAGCCAACCCCACAGCCTACGTCCAGCTGCCTCTGCCAGCACCAGCCAAGCAGCTGCTACTTTCAGGAAGAAGGTCTGGGCTCAGGCCCCCAGAGACTGGTGCTGACTGCCAGTGTTTAGTTGCAGGATCCCCTTTCCTTGGGTCCTGTTTGGAGTTCCTTCATTTCACAGAGAGATCTTTGTCTGGGGGCGGAAGCTGGGAACAGACCAGAAGAGACCGGGACTGGGCAGAGGGGTGGGTACTGTGACAGTATCAGGGCCGTTTGTCTGTTTTGTACAGTGGCATTTATTGCGTGCTTCTGGGTGCCAGGCACTGTGTAAGTGCCCTACGTGCACCAACTTGAAGGCTGATGTCTACTCCCTGGTACCGCCTTCCAATGGGCCTAGACTCGTGCCTGTGCAGAAAGGGTCCCAGACTGGCTCACAGAACCCTCCCCTCAGAGGTCAATGACAGCTGGGCCCTGAGAGGCCCAGGAACCACTGTCACAGAATGCAGATCTCTTATCACTTCCCAGCTTCTGTTTTCTCTCCTGGGTTGCATTAAACCCCTGGCCAGCTGCCAGCTAAAACAATGTATTTGTTAATCTTTCAAGCATTCAGTGGTGCTTATAAGCCTGATTGTATCTATCTTTGTCCAGAGGACTTTTGGGAGGGTTTTGTGAAAATAAACTAGGCCACTGATTAGAATTTCCTGTTTCTCAGATGAGGGCTCTGAGGGAAGGCAGCAGATGAGCCTGGCCTCTCCTCTCCCGTGAAGTTTTGTGGGGAATATTCTCCTTCAGACATTTCAGACAATCCTGGGGCTGAGGTTTTCACGGCTGTAGGGGTGGCTGTGTGTGCCTCTGAAGGGCTGCTGAATGACACTCTAGGCTCTGGTGCTGGGTGAAGAAACTGCCCGGTGTGGCCACAGCCTTTATTCGCACGTTGCTTAGCAGTTACAGGAGTAAGCAGGAGGCGAGAGGAAATAGTGGGCACGTGCGTAGGCTTTAGACAGACCTGGTACCTACTCTGGACCTCAATTTCCTCATCTGGACAAATAGAGATAATCATATCAAGCTCAAATGGTCAATGAGATGATGCCTGGGAGTTATTCAGCCCGGTGCCTAGTGCGTCGGAAGTACTCCACCAATGGAAGTTATTATAATTATGATTTAAATAGCTGGCTGGGGCTTAAGGAAGCCTCTTGCAATTCAGCCAGTGGGACTGGGGGAGGGCATCTTTGTATGCATACCTCCCC